TTCCATTTTAAACCACGTATCATTCTCTTGAGAATAAGATTCTTTGTTAGAGTTGTATCCATATTCATGTGTCTTCTCATGTGCAACCGTTAAACAAAGAAATGATACTCTAGGGAATGACACATGGTCTTGAGACATTACGCCCAAGGAAAGAGGCCCATTAAAGTGAGTGGCGTCATTGAACAGAGTCATGTGACCATCGCTCTATCTAACATGGAGGGTTTTGTAATTACAGGAAAAAATCAATGAAGCAACACAGCATTTCCTGATGGTGCTACAGATTGAACCAGGATTTATGCCAGCTGTCGAACGGCTGAAGACCATCCAGTGCATACTGTGGAAGCAGCAGAAAGAACTTGAGAAACAGGCTGAAGAACTGAAACTGTTGCTAAGCAAAACACATGACCCATCACGTGACCCAACTGTGTAAAAGAAAACCTATTAAACATTGTTATGTATTTGTATTGTAATATTAGCCAACGTTCCTTGAATGTTTCTAAATGAATAGTTCGCTATTTGACTGGTTAATCAATTTTTTTTCCATCTATCCCTTTTTCCTTCCTTCATTCCTTATCTCTATCCTTCGTTCCCTCTTTTCTTCCATCTTTTCTTCCTTTTACGTCTATTCTATTTCTTTGCAAAACCCCCTTGTAGTATGTCTATTGGCATGCATGCATCCTTCATTCCTTTCTTGCTCTCAGCCTTGAATATTTCAAACCCTTGATATAATAGTAGCCACCCTTCACAATGTTGGAAATAAATTATGAGGAATTGGAAATTCCCTTCCACCCCTTTGTTTTCTCATGCACCCCACCCTTCCAATAAATAATGAATGTCCTTAAACTCTAACATTTGGCCAAGGCGTTTGATTTTGGTATACAATTAACAGGCGTTATGTATAGTATACAATACAACATAACTTTATTTATCTTTGAATTAAAGATAGCAAGGACATGCTAATATCTCCAAGCAATAAATTCTAAACTAAGATAAAATAAAATAATAAAATTACACAATTCCAAATAAAGTAAATCTATGTAAAAAAATATATATATAATAAATTTTTATAAATATATTAATGT